ATACTGGTCAGATGCTCAAGACCTACTTTAGTAAGTGCAGTCAAGATGTGAGCTGCTGTCACAATCATGGGCCCTGTGTGACTATCCCATGTCTCCCTGTCTATCTGATCTCTCAACCTGCCCTCTTGCCTCCCCACATGCCTAATTCAGCCCTTCCATCACTCTCCTCTTTCTTACCAACTGCTTTGTTATTGGTACCCATCCCCTGGTTTGGAAATCTGCATTCCCTACCCCACCCTTTCTCTACCCTGCCTAACCTTGACCTCTCATGTAACTCTCAGCTTGGTGTGTCTTTTCCTGGAAGTCGGTTGTCACTCAGTGTGCCTGCCGCAGCATGCTATCCTTCACTGTTGCAGTGACACTGACCACATGTACAGGGCTTGTTTGTTTGTCCCCCACTAGGCTGTGGGGGGGGCAGGCACTGCATGGGTCTTTTTGTCACAATGTCTGGCATAGGACTGATAACGTAGTTTGAACAATGAGTGGGTACACCCCATCATTTCAAGACCACCCTTCCCCCAGTGTGCAAGTGTGTATGCTTACAAACTCACACTCACCTTGACAAAGTGGGTTTCCCCCCAGGGGAAATTCCCCGTGGTTTGAAAGAGGGGTGGCTACTCTGCCTAAGGACAGAGGCAGGGGCCTCTGGCTTCCTCAGAAGCACCCGAAGAGAAGAAGGAGACTCCAAATTCTGCTTTCGTTGTGTCACAGGCCAGCTCAAGGGGCCCTTAAAGATTGTCTCATTCAGTCAAGTCCCCTGCTTAGGGACAAGAAGGCTGCATCCCAGAGGTGAGACGAACAAGGTCACAGGCAAGTGACAGCCGAGCCAGCAAGACAAGCCAGGTCATAGCTGCCCATCTATAATTGCTTCCCATTGCGGTAGAAGTTTAACCACGTCCTCTGCCCAAGGGCTGTGAACACAACGGCCGTCCCTGGGAGGCACGTCTGTCCGCAATCCCATAGCCTAGCCATCCTGATGATCTCCATGTATGGGGTGGCAGCGGCTGCTCAGAAACCCCGTTTGGAGTGGACTGTGAGCCTGCATTCGTTACCCCCGGATTCTGTGCTCGTGTAACAGTCACAGCAGTCATCCCGGTACCCTCTTTGCAGCATGTGATTCTCGAGGGGTTGGGGCCCAGCGGAGCAGGAGTGGGCCGCGGGCAGGGTTTACGTGCTCTGCCTGCTGATCCTGCGCATTCCTGGCATTTCTCCCCTGCTCTATGCAGGGATGCCCTAAGGAAACTGGGCTGCCTGCCCGCCCGTGTCTTGGTTTTTATGTTACAGCTACGTTTGAACTCTGGGTCTGTTTGACTCTTTTTCATTTAGCTGGTCCAGAGAGACAGAGCCGGTGAATAGCGGGCAGTGAGCAGGCTCGGCCTGGTTTTAGTCCTGCTCTCTACAATTACTAGTATAACTACCCTAGGCCTCAGTTTTCTTGGCTGAACATTCTGAATCTCCATGACTGAGAAGCCTGCCAGTCAGAAATTTGAAGCCACGAGCAATTTTGTGACCACATGGGATCTCCCCTCCACCTTCAGGGGCAGAGAGGCCCAGCATCCTCTTGTAGTATCTGAGGCTCCATGTCTAGGCCCCGCCCATCCTGCCAGCCTCATTCCTCACCACCACCTGTTGCCCACTGTGGATCAGCCACACCGTGCCACCATGGGAGTCAGCGAGCAAATGCAGGCCTGCCCCAGTGTGGTGGTGTCTCCTCTTATCATTGCCAGAACCCCCAGTTCTTGTTCTCTGGGGAGGGGGACAGTTAGGAAGGTGTGAACTTATCTTTTGTTTTTTTGAATTGGAGTCTCACTCTGTCGCCCAGGCTGGAGTGCCATGGCACACTCACGGCCACTCCAGCGTTGATCTGCTGGGCTCTGGCGATCCTTCCACTTCAGTCTTCCAAGTAGCTGGAACTACAGGTGCACACTACCACGCCCAGTTAATTTTTTATTTTATTGTAGAGACGAGGTCTCACTAAGTTGCCCATGCTGGTTCCAGGCAATCCATTCGCCTCGGCCTCCCAAAGTGCTGGGAATACAGACTGAGCCACTGAACCCGGTCAAACTTATATTTTTACTCACTAGGGTGTTTTTACAGGTGGCAGAAATTCAACTTTTGAGGCCAGACCAGGTGAGCCTGTGTCAAATGCTCCCCAGGCTCTGATGTCCAGGGATTCTTGTATATTCATCTCTTAACTATGCTGGACCCCGCACTGGTTTTTCATTCTTAGGTGATTTCATTTTACTGGCCCACCTTAATTCTTCTGACTCCAGGCCGCCCTCTGCTGGACTGTTCTGGCAACAGAGTCTGGGACCTCTGTGAAACACCTCCCCACATGCCCCCAACTCCTGCGCAAGCCTACTGGGAATAGGGGAAAGACAGTCAGGCAGTAGGATTTCTTTCCCGATGCTACTCAGCTAGGCTTCTTTCCTGAGCATAGAAGTAACACTTAGCTTGTGTCAGGTCACCCGAAGCTGACTTCTGTTTCTGACATAAGAAGGGAGACCATCTCGCGGTGTCTGAGATGTGCTCACAGGGAAGTCCTTTCCGAAGTTTGAGCTTATATTGCTGCAGTCAGGAGCTCAGGTGAATGCTAGGCCCCTGCACCATTTCAAGTTATGTAGGTCTCAGGCAAGTTGAGTGACTAACTTGTCCCGGTTCATTGAGGACTTTCCCAGATTTATGGAAACATCCTGAGAGCATCCTCAGTCCCAGACAAACTTGGACAGTGAGACTCCGACTCAAAAAAAAAATTTCTTTTTCTTATAAGTTACCCTGGATTAGGTCCCACCCACCCTAATGACCTCATTTTTTTTTTTTTAATAATTAATCAGTATTTTTATTATAGTTTTGTGGGGTACAGTTAAGGGTTAGGTGTACAATTACGTTTCATTCAGACACCCTGTTGATAAGAGGTGTTTTCCCAGCCCCAGACAGATATTTGCTACTGTTAATCCCATCCCCCTCCCCCCCATAGTTTCCCAGTACCGTTAGTCATTTTCTTATAGTATTACATTGGATGTTCAAGGTCCATTATATGAGTGAGAACATGTGATATTCGGATCTTTGTTTCTGTGAGAGGTCACTCAGTATTATAGACTCTAGTTCCATCCAGGTTGCTGCGAAATTCATGATTTTGTTCTTTTTTATGGCTGCGTAGTATTCCATCGTGTATATGTACCACATTTTTTTAATCCAGTCCTCTTTTGATGGGCAGCATGGTTGTTTCCAGGTTCTTGCTATTGTGAACAATGCTGCGATAAACATACGTGTGCAGGTATCTTTTTTATAGAGTGATTTGTGTTCTTCAGGGTATATTCCCAGTAGGGGGATTGCAGGGTCATATGGAAGGTCAATTTTTAGAGCTTTTAGGAATCGCCACACTGCTTTCCACAGAGGTTGCACTAGTTTACACTCCCACCAACAGTGTAGAAGTGTTCCCTTTTCACCACACCCTCTCCAGCAGCTGTTATTTTTTGAGTTGTTGATAATTGCCATTCTGACTGGAGTTAGGTGGTATCTCAGTGTGGTTTTGATTTGCATCTCCCTGATGATTAGTGAGGTTGAGCATTTCTTTATGTGTTTGTTGCCTTCTCGAATGTCTTCTTTTGTGAAGTGTCTGTTCATATCTTTTGCCCATTTTATAATGGAGTTGTTTGTTTTCTTCTTTTCAGTACGTTTCAGTTCCTTGTAGATCCAGGATGTTAAGCCTTTGTCAGACCTAGAGTTGGCAAAGACTTTTTCCCAGTCTGTAGGCTGTCTTCCTGCTCTCTTGATGGTTTCTTTGGCTTTGCAGAAGCTTGTCAGTTTAATAAGGTCCCATTTGTCTATCTTCTCTCTTAAGTCCTGTGGGTTTCGGGTTTTGTACAGGAATTGGATGCCAGTTCCGATTTCCATGAGAGTATTTCCTTCCTTTTCTAAGGTTCTTATGGTTTGAGGTTTTACATTTAGGTCTCTGATCCATTTGGAGTTAACCTTTGTGCATGGGGATAGATAGGGGTCCTGTTTCAATCTTCTGCATGTGGTCAACCAGTTTTCCCAGCACCATTTACTGAATAGGTTCTCTTCTCCCCACTGGTAGGTGGTGGGGAATGACCTCATTTTAACTTGCTTACTGTGAAGACCCCATCTCCATCTCCAAATAAGGTCACATGGAAGATACTGGGGGTTAGGATGTCAGCATATTTTTGGGGGATGGGACACAATTCAACTTATTTATTAATTTATTTTTTATTTTTATTTTTTGAGTTGTAGTCTCACTCTGTCACCCAGACTGGAGTGCAGCGGCCGCTCCCGGCCACCGCAGCCTCGACCCGCTGGGCTCCAGCGATCCTTCCGCCTCAGCCTTCCAAGTAGCTGGAACTACAGGCGCGCGCTACCACGCCTGGCTAATTTCTTGATTTATTGTAGAGATGAGGTCTCGCCAAGTTGCCCAAGGTGGTTCTCGAACCCACGGACTCAGGCATTCCACTCACCTCAGCCTCCCAAGGCGCTGGGATTACAGGCTGAGCCACCAAGCCCAGCTTATTTATTTATTTTTGAATCAGGTGTCTTACTCTGTCACCCAGACTGGAGTGCAGTGGCATGATTATGGATCACAGCAACCTTGACCTCCAGGGCTCAGGTGACCCTTCCATCCCAGCATCACAAGTAGCTGGGATTACAGGTGTGCACCACCACGCCCAGATAATTTTGTTTTTTTATTTTTATTTTTGAAGAGATGAGATTTCACTCTGTTGCCCAGGCTGGCAATTCAGCTTATAACAGCAGGGTTAGCTATGACTGTTATTGTTATTTGTATCACTATCTTTGCAATCACTGAGGAACCAAGAAAGAACTGAGAAACAAATCCTATACCCAAGAGCAAATTCGGGAGGGGCCCTGAGGGCAATCCCCTTCAGAGAAGGTGAATGTTGGGATTCAGTTTCTGCTCACCATTTCAGGAAAAGGATATAGGAGCAATCCCTTTAACCTGTGGGCTTTTGTTCTGCTTGCTGTAGATGGAGCAGGTGAGGAGCGAACTGCTTCAGGAGAGAGCTGTGAGGCAAGACCTGGAGTGTGACAAGATTTCCCTGGAGAGACAGGTGAGGGCAGCTGGCCCCGTGAGCCCCCTCCCCATCACCCTGACTGGACTAGCACCCCTCGGAGGCTCCTCCTTTACTTAGCATCCTCAGGACTCTGGGGCACAGCTCACCCAAGCGGGTGAGGTGTTTCTAAGGCCTTTTCCAGAGAGGTTTTTCTCAGTTGTTAAATCTTTGGAAGCTTGACAGCCGCGAGAGGAGAAATTGCAAGTGCTATTTTTCTAGATCCTGTTGAGGGCTGAATTCCAGTGTAAAGCGAATGCAAAAGAGTCCGTGTCATCAAACGTACAAGTGGCTAAGAAAGCTTAATTAGATTGTTATTTCTTTTACACACTGTTCATGTCAGTTCTTCACTGAATATGATTAGGGAAGGAGCCTATTTGACCTGTCCCCTCCTGCAAGTTTATAAAGGATGAGGCCAAACCCACTTGACATCCAGGAGTCTTAGGCCGTGCGTGCCAGAGATTCCATTCAGGCCTATGAGGGAATGTAATAGAATCTCTTCTTTTGGTCTGATAGCACCTGAGCTCAAGGGTTTTCCCTAGAAACACCTCTGGGTTCCCCAGGTCCCCAGGCCACGTGTCCTGGTGTGGAAAGCAACCTTATCTTAGGCATGGACCAAATATCTGGCTCCTCCACCTTTGTGTTCTGCTCCTCACGATCTCCCTGTCTGATTCCAGAACAAGGACTTAAAGAGCCGGATTATCCACCTGGAAGGCTCCTACAGGTCCAGCAAAGAGGGGCTGGTGGTACAGATGGAGGCTAGGATCGCAGAGCTGGAGGACCGCCTGGAGGGTGAGGAGAGGTAAGCCCACCTGTGGCACAGAGGAGTGGTAAACGTACTGCAGTGCACCCTCAGGTGTGGTATTGCTTCCACTCCTCATAAGCTTGTGAGGAAGGCAGAGCAAGTACGAGCTTGCTGTTATTGTTTCCATTTCACAGATGAGAAAACAGAGACCTGTCAAAATAAGAGCCTGGAGTGAGGTAGCCTGGCTAAATTAAAGCTTAGGACCCCACTCGCTCCTCAGGCCATAGCTTTGACACTGTGCTTACGGTTCCTTTCTCCTTTCCCTATGTAGGACAGGCAGCCTCAGAAGCTGCTGAATTTGGGCCAGATTAGTGGCCAGGGCCTGACTCTGCCATTGGGGCCAGGTGTATTTAAGTGAAGGCTGATTGGCCCCTGTCAGGGACGGGGCAAGTCCTCCCACAATGGGTGGTCAGGCGACCATACTCCTTTCCAGTTGTCTGCAGCTAACTCTCAAATTGCAGCCCGGGGCCCATGCCAGGCTGAACCTGAGCAGCCTTAGCTCTTCCTCATGGCCCCCACCTTCTGAGAAAGGGTGTGATGCACGGAGGAGACCTGAAATGTGAAGCTCAGGAGTGGAAAAACTCAGGGTGGTTCCAGTCGGGCTTAGCCCTTGCTGGCTCCGCAGCCTCTTCTCGGAGTCTTGGCCCCTCCTGTCTCACGAGCAGCCCTTTCCTCCCGTGCAGTTGTGTTTCTCTGACCCTAAGCCTTGGGCTGACTGGGCACCCTAGCTGGAGCATCCTCTCCTTAGCAGCTGGGGCTGAGCCCCCAGTGGGGCTAGGAATGAGACTCGGTTCTGTCTCCTTTGCCCTTCCAGGGACCGGGCCAGCCTCCAGCTCAGCAACCGGCGGCTGGAGCGGAAAGTGAAGGAGCTGGTGATGCAGGTGGACGATGAGCACCTGTCACTGACCGACCAGAAGGACCAGGTGAGAGCCTCTGCGTGTTCTTTCGTTCTCAGTTGAGATCGTATGTCTCCAGCTGGGAAAGCAAGGGAGGCAGGGCCTCCCCTGGCAGGCAGTGGAGACCAGTGGGCCGATTCCTGCTTTTCCAATCATGTCATAGAATGGGGGCCTGCTGGCCTACTTAAGTAGGGTACTTTAGCACACTTCCAACCTGGAGTTGTCTTAGAGCCTGCTCTCCGTGCTTCCTGTGAGACTGGTTGCTCCATTGCCTTGTCTTGGTTGCCTGGGGAGAAAGTGGCTGGACCCGGGCTTTTCTCCGTGTGGGGCTGCTCTGCATCCAGCTGGGCCGAGCCACGGGGACCAGCACTCAACCCACCCTGTCTCCCGATGCAGCTGAGCTTGCGCTTGAAAGCAATGAAGCGGCAGGTGGAGGAGGCCGAGGAAGAAATCGACAGACTGGAAAGTTCGAAAAAGAAGCTGCAGAGGGAGCTGGAGGAGCAGATGGATGTGAATGAGCAGCTGCAGGGGCAACTCAACGCTGTGAAGAAGGACTTAAGGTGGGTGGGTGTGGTGGCCCTATGGGGGCTGATTTGATGCTTGTTGCTTTCAGAGCATTCACTTGTGGGCTCAAGCCAGCTTCCCATTCTTGCTTTTGGGGTTGTCTCATCCTAGAGGTGAAGGTGGCTATGTCTACTTCATTCACCCCACATGTTCGATAGGGTCTCTCGTGTGTCATTCTTATACCAATGCCCCAGTGTCAGCTGGGCAGGTATTATCCTTGTTGACTGTAAGAGGAAACTGAGGCTTGAGCTCACACCACCATGGAGGAACAGTTTCTGGACCAGCTTGCTTTTGTCTGACTTAGGGAGAAATAGGGTCAGGTTTTGATTTTTGTCTTCATGAGGACTAGGATATCCCAAGGCTGGTTTCCAAAGAGGGCAGCTCTCTAAAGTTCCTCTGCTGTGGTCCTAAGGATATGGAGAGTGGATGGCAGGGTGGTGGCTATGTGGATGGCTCTCTCTGCCCCAGGGTGTCTCTGCCCGGGGCACTGAGGTCAGGGGGTAAGATTCGGCTCACGTGCATCCGTGGAGCTGGGTTTTTCTTGGAGGCCAGCTGTGACCTGGGCCTCTGAGCTGCTGGGTTGGTAGTTCTCCTGTAAATGGACAGAACACTCCAGCCCATTGAGAGCCCTGTAAAACAAGGCTCATCTGTTGGGAAACTACCTTCAAAGTTGGCATGAGGGTGCATTGTTAAAGGGAGTACCAAAAGCTCAGAAATCAAGATCTATAACATTTTAATATTTTAATTGAATATTTAAAAATCTTAATGCATACAATGCAAGGTGAACAAGATATCAACATTTTAGGCCAGGTGCCATGGCTCATGCCTATAATCCCAGCTCTTTGGGAGACTGAGGTGGGAGGATTTTTTAAGTCCAGGAATTCAAAACTGCAGTCAGCTGTGATCACTCCAGTCCACTCCAGCTTGGGCAACAGAGTGAGACCCAATTAAAAAAAAAAAAAAAAAAAAAAGACGAGGAGGAAGAGAGAAAAACTTTGGAGTTCGGGCAGAAGGGGAAATCAATAATACTGAGCCTGTCCCATCCTGGCCGACCCTTTCAGCGCGAGTTTCCTGTGCTGAAAGGGGTCTAGACAGCTCTCTGTGGCTGAAGGAACCACAGGTGCAGGCCTGTGAAGTCCATGTGTTCATATGCCGCTCAGTGGGGAGGAGGGACAGAAGCCTGAGACTCCACCCTCATCTCCAAACCAGAGACAAGCCCCAGCCCAGGGCCAGGAAACATGTCCCATGTTGTTTCTGCAGACTTAAGAAGCTGCCGAGTAAAGTGCTGGACGACATGGACGACGATGACGACCTCAGCACGGATGGGGGTAGCCTCTGTGAGGTGCCCCTGAGCTTCACCTTCTCCAAGGACAGCTCTGCTGCCAGCCAGATCTGAGTCCTCTGAAGGGCTGTCAAAACGGCCTCACTCCTACAGGACGGTGGGAAGCCCAGAGCAGGAGGCAGGAAGGGAGTGTCTGTCTGCCTTGGGGACCCACTGCCTCCTCTTCACACAGCATGCCAATCCCCCAGTGTTACATTCCTCGCTCGTGTCTCTCAGTGGGTCCAGACAGTCAGCGACTGCAGTTTAAAATGTTGGAATGCAGCCAGGCTCGGTGGCTCAGCCTGTAATCCCGCGCCTTTGGGAGGCTGAGGTGAG